TTATTGAAATGATAAGACAAATAATTTCGATGGACAAAATTTTACTTATACAATTTTAGAATTGTTTGTAATTCATGATATTTGTGAGAAGACGTTTTATAACATAAGATTTTTATGACACCTGACACTTGACTTTCGAACACTTGATATGGTACCGTACTTGTACATGGTTGTCGCTGCGGACCGTATCAAGGTATAAGCCTATAACATTGAGATCAATAATAAATGTCAAATAATAATTAATTATTATTTTAAGTCATAATTTAAAGCTTATAGTTAATTTGAATCTGAACTCTTTTATTTTCCGTTAATAACATTATTTCCTGTAATCTTTAATAATATGTAGATCATTTATAAGCTTAAATTTTTCGGAATCGTTACTAAATTTAACTGAATTTATTTTTTCGAATGTAAACCAGCCCTCAAGGTTTTGACGAATATTGTTGTATTAAATTGTATATTCACAATTTAAATTAAGTTGATCAGTTGTTTAATAAATTGTCAAATTTCTAATTTCTAACAAGTATATAATATGTATATATATATATWTTTTCTATATATAATGTTTATTTGGTTTTTTTAAAATTTAATTTATGTAGTTTTGTTTACCAAACTAGTATGCATCCGACAGTCGTTCTACTTCCGTTTGTAATTCGTTATTACAACACATGTAGATGAARATTAAAGAGATTTATCAACATTTTTTTAGATCATATAGAAGTCAAATAAAATATAAACTTAATCAACCATTTTTGATCTGTTATAACTAGTATTTATTATTTTTATCATTTAATTTCAACTCTTAACCCTTATTTTAGACAATTTATTATGATAGATTTAGTTTTTTAATGATTAAAAAACTTGACCTGATCTAATAAAATTGTAATCAATAGATACCCACCGTCGATTGCTGACTACTATAAAATGGGGCTATATAATATCAATATCGCTTACTAGTGTTTTAATCATATTTGGTTTAATTTGAACAAATAAATTAATTAATGTCGCACTTAACGTTATTTCTACAGTATACGGACCGAATTTTAAGAATAATAATCACATTTTATAAAAATTTTTAATTTTATTGAATTAACCATGTCCTTTTAATACTTAGTAAATTGTATTACATAAAATATTGCTTTATCTATACAAATATTAATGC